TTATTGATCAGCTCAACGGACCAACTTCCAGCTAAGAAAAAAAGATTAAAAATCAGATTGAAAATCAATTAAAACGGTACTATTATAATGTGATTTTAATCAGAGTCTTCACATTTAAAGACAGATTTCATTTGATTTTAACTTTGCTTTCTATCTCTTTTAATGGATTATTAAAATAAAATTAATTACAAGTGATTATTAGAAATTGATTTTAATTAATTAAAATTTGTTAACCAATTAAAATAGATTAACAAATGTTGAAATCAAATGAAATCCGTCTTTAAGGCTTAAAAATCGAGTTAAAGTCAGATTAAAACAGTGCCTTTGCAATTGATTTTCAATCGTATTTTTTACTATTTTTTTCTGTCATGGGTTATTTTCTCGCTTTTCTTTTATTCATTGACAGTAAAATGAATGAACAACGTGATCGTACTTTACATTCGTCTTTCTCTGACAGTTGCAGAATGTTTAATCAAAATTAAGCGACAAGGATTTGTATATGTAGATTTACATCTATATCCTTCATGTCAAAATAGATCTTTTTATGAGTTGCTAATCGTTTAGTTATCTTTTGATATTTTTTCGCTTTTACTCATTGAAATATATTGTGTGAAGATCAAAAACAACTTTATTAATAATTTGGTAAAGAAAAATATCCTTTTACTAGCTGAAATTAATCTTCGAAAGCCTTTCTGAATTGTTTTTCGGATTTTGGACTCATCCATCTGGCAACACTGTACCGGACCGAAATTTTCTGTGATAATCTGGCAGATATCAAGAAACAAAAGGAAAAAATATATAATTGTACAAAAAAGTTACAATTCTCTCACATGTATATTTTTTCTTCTAATGAAATTTCGTAACGAAGTATTTTTTTTAAAAATGCACAAAAATACAACCAAAGGTTAATAAAAAAAACCCGGTGCATTCGATAGCTTTTGAAAAGATCTATCTGATTATGAAGTTTCTTTAAAATTAATTTGCCATATAAGCGAATAAAATACACTATAAGTAGTTTTTGTTACGGAATTTCATCAAAAATCAGATGTTTTTATTTGTGATGATTCAATCATTTTTTTTTGTAAGAAGCTCACTAGAAGAAAAAATGATATTACCATCACTTCATAACTGCATACAGGGGTAGGTAGTGACATCTGTCGTATATACTATCGTCAGTACCCTTTCAATTGACATATTTAGTTTTCTTGATTTTTTAATTCGAACCTCTCCCCATGCATGGATGACCGATGCATGGCCATGTCCATTGCTCTTCCTCGGAAAACTTCCTTACAACAATTTCCATGTACAGTTTTCACTCACTGCAAGGCTCTACTTTTTACCATATAAACGATCTGGACAAGAACTAGAAGTGATATCGACGTGAAAATCGTTACGAAATCCTTTTTTTTATACGGAATTAGTAAAAGCCTTCTGAATTTTTATCTGCGAAAAGAACATTCCCGAAATCTCTTCGACAATGATGATCCCTTTTCTTTTTCATTCATTGTAGTAATTCCCAATGTTTCAGAAAAGAAGCGATGGGTACTGATTAGGATCGACATTTGGGCATTAAGTAGAGATGGACAACTACACTATATCCTGCTCCAACTCCACATAACTCCAGTCCTATTTTCTAAAACTCCACATCATCAAATACAGTGTGTTTCACTCCAACCTTATACCACTCCACTCCTTTTTTTCTAAAATCCTACTCCAACTCCGATTTAGCGTCAATTCCAGTCGAATTTCAGAAAACTGAACTTCTACCAAAACACTCTTACATACACATAAGTTTTTTAACATAATTAAATCTACGACTGATATAAATTAGTAGCATATTAATCTATTGTTTTATAAACTTTCACATAAAATCCAGAGATAGGCACCTTCACTCTCATTCTGATGAGAAATAATGTCAACTTTGGTGTTGTAATTGCCCATCTCTGATATCAACCATTCCAAAATACTTACTCTTCAGATCCTCCTGAACATATCCATAACATGCAAGCTTACAGAAGACTTCTCAGAACCCGTACTACATAAGGATTATAACATGATCCTCATAGAAGATACTCATTATTTTTAGATTTTCAGATTTTGACAGAGTATCTTATTTAGTCATCAAGATTCTCTTCGAGGGCCCTAATACAATGGTTTGAAGGTGGTGTTCATCAGAAGTTAAAAATAGCATTTTAGGACACTTTCTTTTCCAAAGCCCATAAAATCCATAGATCCCAATGTTTTTCACTGGAGAACTCCGTTAGGATTGACATTCATCTTTTCAACATTTGCAAAAGTAGAAGCCGTCTCAGATTACATAGATTCGCGTGGAATCCTCTCAACTTTGTTCAGTTTCGCCTGTATCCAAGCCTTCTCATGATCTTACTCAGAATACATCACGGGTGTTCTTCGAACAGCTTGACATAACTTACTAAAAGCCTTATAAAATTTCACCGGCATTCTCTATGCAAATACTTAGGAGATTCTTCGGCAGATCTACATTCATCATACAGAAAATCATGTATCCTTAAGGTTTCCTAAAAAACATAGGGATTAGGTTTGATATTTTGTTGTTCAACGATTCGATATTCTTCTCACAACATGTAGATAGAATCTTCTCTGATGTTCATATAAATGATCATTCTGTCAAAAAGATTCTGAATTCTTGCAATTCCGAATAAAATCCTCAGATCCTTATGTTTTTCTATCAAAAACTTACATGGAATTAGTATTACTCTTTCTTGGAGAACCTCCTTACAACAATCTCAAGGTGTTGTTTTTATGATCAAAAAGATCTTGGCAAGAACTAGAAGTAACATAGATGTAAGAATCGTTATCAAATCCTTTTGTTCTCATAAGAAACTAGGAAAAGATTTCTGAATTTTTATCTGCAGAATGAGCATTTTCAAAGACGAATATCATATTTGTAGCGCTTGCTCCCACGAGATCCCTTCAACAACGACGATTTCTTTTCTTTTTTGTTCATTGTAGTAATTCTCAATATTCCAGTCGATGCCCGATGGAAACAGAATGGAGTGACTGTCGCTGGTGGTCATGGAGGAGGCAGTGCCACCAATCAACTCGCGAGACCTTGTGGTCTCTTCGTTGATGATGATCAAACGATAGTCATCGCTGACAACGACAATTATCGTATCATCCAATGGAAGATGGGTGATACGAATGGACAAGTAGTAGCTGGTGGCAATGGCCAAGGAAATCGATTGGATCAATTGGATCAATTGGATCGACCAACTGATGTATTGATCGACAAAGAGACGGATAGTCTTATTATTTGTGATTCGTTGAATGCACGAGTCGTACGATGGTCTCGTCGTAGTGGCACAACTCAAGGAGAAATCCTCATCAACAACATCGTTTGTTATGGATTGGCCATGGATGATCAGAGATATCTCTACATCTCTGACTACGACAAACATGAAGTAAGACGATATCAAATAGGAGACAAGAATGGAACTATTGTGGCTGGCGGCAATGGCCAAGGTGCTGGTCTCAACCAACTCAACGATCCGTACTATATCTTTGTCGATCAACAACAGACTGTCTACGTATCAGACAGCCTCAATCATCGTGTAATGAAATGGAATAAAGGTGCAAAAGAAGGAATTGTCGTCGCTGGAGGTCAAGGCTATGGGAATGCTCTGACACAGTTGTATTATCCTAATGGACTATTCGTCGATACATTGGGTACCATCTATGTGGCAGACTCGTCGAATCATCGAGTGATGCGTTGGCCTAAAGGAGCGAAACAGGGCACTGTCATTGTGGGTGGAAATGGACAAGGAGAAGGGGAAAATCAGTTCAACCATCCCTCGGGTTTGTCCTTCGATCGACAAGGCAATCTCTATGTCGTCGATTATTGGAATTATCGTGTTCAACGATTTTCAATCGAATAGACTCGTCGTGATAGATTTTTTTGCGTTCCTTTCGTTTCAAATAAATCGCATTGAATAGATGAAATGAATGACTTATTCTATTCGCGCGCGCGCGACCAGGAACCATCCTGGTGGAGCCGTGGCGAGCGTAACGCTCATGCACGCACAGGACAGACTCATATCATTCATACCCTCCCCGCGAGAGATATGTCAATGAGTCTGAATAAGGCTGGTCGTGTGCCACGGACACCAAGATAGTTCCTGGCCGAGCTTTTAGGGACTACTCGGAAGTCCTTCATAAGAGACGAAACCCTAATTCTCAACGGACAGAACTCACCCTCATCTCCCACTAACACTCACTTTCGTTAGTCTCATTCTCACCCTTCTCAATCTCACTGTCACTATCTAACCTCATCCCTCTCTCACCCCTATTCTCTTTCTCAAAAGAAAAAAAAAAGAAATAATTACTCACGTGTTCGAATTTTGGACGATGATAAAGAAGACGCGATCATGTTGAAGACTGAAAAGAAAAAGAAAAAAAAATTTAATTAATGTTATATTATGAGAAAATATTAGTTAACTTACTCCCTGTTATCTTTTCCTAGTTGATAATAATCAGAGAACCTAAAACAAA